GACAGGTGAGTTTTTCTCACATTTATGGTCTTTCTTCCCACAGTTGCTAAGTGAATCACTGCAGTTGTTAAGTTAGCAACCTGGTTGTTAAGTGACTCTTGCTTCCCCCATTGACTTTGCTTGTCGGAAGGTCGGAATAGAATAAGAAATAGAATAGAATAGAATAGAATAGAATAGAATAGAATAGAATAGAATAGAATAGAATAGAATAGAATAATATGGAATGGAATGGAATGGAATGGAATGGAATGGAATAGAATAGAATAGAATAGAATAGAATAGAATAGAATAGAATAGAATAGAATAGAATAGAATAGAATAGAATAGAATAGATATTGGAATGGAACAGGAATAGGAATAGAAATAGAAATAGAAATAGAAATAGAAATAGAATAGAATAGAATAGAATAGAACAGAATAAAATAAAATAGATGGAATGAAATAGAATGGGATGGAATGGAATGGAATGGAATAGAATAGAATAGAATAGAATAGAATAGAATAGAATAGAATAGAATAGAATAGAATAGATATTGGAATGGAACAGGAACAGGAATAGGAATAGGAATAGAAATAGAAATAGAAATAGAAATAGAAATAGAAATAGAAATAGAAATAGAATAGAATAGAATAGAATAGAACAGAACAGAATAAAATAAAATAGATGGAATGAAATAGAATGGGATGGGATGGAATAGAATAGAATAGAATAGAATAGAATAGAATAGAATAGAATAGAATAGAATAGAACAGAACAGAACAGAACAGAACAGAATAGAATAGAATAGAATAGAATAGAATAGAATAGAATAGAAGAGAGATGGAATGCAGGAAAAAACCAGTCCCTTTTTATTATTCAAGCCTTGAGTCAATGTTCAAGGCAAACAAACACAGTTCACAGAAACTCAATTCCTCAACACAAACAGCTGCCTTCGGCCACCAGCACCTCCCACACCTTCCCTTTTATTATGCAGCCCAGACGTGGCTTCCTAATGCCATCTCCTTTGCCTTTGGAACCGCCCCATTGCATTCCTCTGTCCTACTCGCTTCTCTTGCCTGCGCCTTCGTGCATCCGGGATTTGTCCCAGCTGTTCTTCATCACTGTCCAACTCAGACTCCCAGCACAGCTGTGTCTCAGCCTGAGTGCAAGTAGAGGGGCCGGGCTCCTCGTCCGACTGTAAGTCTTGGAGCTCCTCAGAGCCTTCTTCTGACTCTGATGTCACTCCAGGGCCCTCCTCCTCCTCCTCTGATTCCTCGGACTCAGCTGCCGGGTCCACCGGCTGGCGAGGATTCACAACACCGGGTTGCCTTCACCATTAGACCAAACTGGTTCTCAGTTGAGGGCACCAGTGTGGAAAAGTCTCTCTTGAGGCAGGAGAAATTGTCTAGAGCTAAGCTGAAAAACCTGGGAATTGCCATCCCCACATCCTAACAGCAACACCCAGGTTGGGGAAGGCAGCTTCCAATGTTAAGAAATCGGCAAAAAGTTGAGATAGGTCAGCAGACAGGAAGTTTTCTCAAACGGAGGCGGATGAAGCCTATCGTGACTCAAGCCATCGTTCAGACTTCAGAGTGACACAGGATGCTGGTCTCTGCCGGGCTGATTCTGCTTCTCTCTATTCCTCTAAGCCACCCCTTAAGCCAGACATGTCAAACACAAGGCCCGGGGGCCGGATGCAGCCCGTGAAGTGGTTTCATGTGGCCCGTGAAGCCATCCTGGAAACAGTGAGGGAATGGCCCCCACTGCCTTGGCCCTGGCCCAGGCCGGCCAGGAGCCAATGTACAATTTTGTGGTGGCCATCTATGCTGAAACGCATTCAGTCTTAGCTCCACAAGGCCATCTGGAAACAGCGAGGAACCAGCCCCTGCCGCGTCAGCCCTGCCCACTGGGTGCATGCTGCGGAGGTGTCACCCTTTGTGAGGAATGAAGAAATGCACCATCGCCTGGAAGTGGCCAGCAAATGGCCCTTGCCCACTTCACCTATCCGGCTTGATGGGCTCTGGGGAAGGGGTTTCAGCAGGCAGTGAGGCTCCTCCAGTGGACCCTGCCTTGGCACTTGCCCCGGTCCCACCCCCTTCTGCCAGAGACCCTCAGATCTATCCCACTCCTGTCCAGGCCCCCACAGGCACCCTTGACGCGAACGATGTAGAGCTGGCCATGCCCACCCAGTAGGCCACACCCACTCTGTCCATACCCACCCAGTAGGCCACACCCACCCTGGCCACACCCATCCACCCCTCCCCGGGGGCAACCGCAATGCTGACGTGGCCCTCAATGAAATTGAGTTTGACACCTGTGCCTTAAGCCATTTTACAGGGAGGGACGGAAAATAAAGCAGGTGTCAGTAGCCCAGCCTGGCCGAGACGCTCTTTATTGCCAACCTATTTGAGGGCCTGCTGCAATTGGGACAAAATGATAGAGGCAGCTTCGAAGGGGGGCAGTTTTGAGGCCAGGGACACCAGCTGCCAACCTGTCAGGCTGTGCCAGACCCGTCCGTTCACTCCCGCATGCAAATACCTGGGCATAAATGGCTACGGGAATCTTTGGATGTGAAGGAGGAATAGCAGCGAAAAAGCCAAGGTGCTCTTCCGTCTTCAGCTGAGGAATAATTATAATAATTATGCTTTAATTAAGAATATCAAGCATTTTGTTTGCCCGTCCGAAGAGAAGCCGTGCCAGCTACATCCTGAAAGCTTCCAGTTAATGGGTGTTTGCAGCCTGTCAGAGTTTCTTCAACGGGTGCTTAACAACCGCAACCGAGCACCAAAAGGTTTTGTTGCGAAGTGCAACATGCGTGAAGGGAACTTTGCCTCATTTCACGACCGTTCTTGCCACAGTTGTTAAGTGAATCCCTGCAGTTGTTAAATCAGGGACAACGGTCGTTAAGCGAATCCAGCTTTGCCCACTACTTGAGAGAAGGTCGCAAAAGAGGATCACGTGACACCCCAGGGACACTGCGACCAACATAAATAAGAGTTCAGCTGCCCAGCATCTGAATTTTGATCATGTGACCATGGAGATGTTGCAAAGATCATAACTGTGAATAGCGGTCATAAGTCCCGTTTTTCAGCACCACTGTAACTTTAAATGGTCACTAAATGAACTATTGTAAGTCAAGGACTACCTGAATTTGTCTGTTTGTCTGTCATCCATCTGTCCATATATCTGTGTGTCCATCTATCCGTCCATCCATCTATCCGTCCATCCATCTATCCATCTATCTATCTATCCATCTGTCTGTCCATCCATCTATCCATCCATCCATCCAATCTATCCTATCTATCTATCCTATCTATCCTATCTATTCTATCTATTCTATCCATCTATCCATCTATCCATCTATCTATCTATCTATCTATCTATCTATCTATCTATCTATCTATTCTATCCATCTATCCATCTATCTAATTTATCAGGCACCCATCTTACTGCAGGTTAACTCTGGGCAGCTCACAATATTAAAATAAATAAATACATAAATACATAAATAAAACTATATAAATAGAATACTACAAAGCTATAAAAATACAAAATACCAGCTGTGTCCATCTTCCCTTGCCAGCACTACTGAGTGGCCACAGAAGGCATCTCCTCAAATGGCCATCCTGCAAGCCCTTTCGTCTGCAAAGCATGGACAGGGAAAGGGTTGGACTAGATCAGTGGTTCTCAACCTTTTTAATGCCGCGACCCCCAACCGGTCGTAAGTCGAGGACTACTCAACTGGTGCAGCACCTTTTGCAGCATGGGACTTTTGGCAGGCTCAGCAGGGCAGAGACAGCCTGGACAATTCCTATTGGCTTTTGAAAGCCAATAGAATTAGACTCTATTCAAGAGAGTCTATTCTATTGGCTTTCAAAAGCCAATAGAATAAAAGGGAGTAGCACAGCTAAGGAAAAGGGGAAAAAAAGGGCAGACTGCGTTGTTTGGCGACCCCCGTGAAATGGTCGTTCGACCCCAAATGGGGTCCCGACCCACAGGTTGAGAACCACTGATCTATCTATCTAATTTATCAGCCACCCATCTTACTGCAAGTTAACTCTGTGCAGCTCACAATATTAAAATAAATAAATACATAAATACATAAATAAATACATAAATAAAACTATATAAATAGAATACTACAAAGCTATAAAAATACAAAATACCAGCTGTGTCCATCTTCCCTTGCCAGCACTACTGAGTGGCCACAGAAGGCATCTCCTCAAATGGCCATCCTGCAAGCCCTTTCGTCTGCAAAGCATGGACAGAGAAAGGGTTGGACTAGATGATCTCCAATGCCCCCTCCATTCTAGGAATCTGTTGTCTTACAGAAATACCGTTTTTCCTTCCTGAAACCAAAGCAAATTTGCACCACACACCCAGCCCGGTGACCCCCCCCCCCGAGGCCGTGATTTTCCTAACTGATACATATATTTTTTTTTGGGGGGGGAAGATTGCATTAATTATATATCGACCTCCTAATTAACCCCACCCGTTAGGTTTAGGCACCAGGCTAGATGAAGGGATGATTGACCCTCAACCGTCCAACCCCATTTTACCTCTTCCGATCCAGTGGATCGATTTAGTTTAGAGCTCAAGGTGTCCTTGGCACCAGACTGGGCTCCATGAAGAAACCATAGTTGGCTTAAACCTGGCTAAACCAGCGATGCTAAAGAGCGCTTCCTTCTCCCCCCCCCCCCATCCAAAATACAATCGCGGCTTGAGATCAGATCCCGACAACCACGCGCGATAAACAACCGGACCGCTTTTGGCAAGCCAACATTCACCACACCTGGCATCGCAGCTAGCCCAGATCTTTGAATAACCCCCCTCACCTTAATCAGAGCCGCTTCAGCTCCCCTCCCCGGCCCCCTTGGGACCCCCCCAGCCCACCCACCCGGCTGAGCTCGCCTCCGATTCCCCCAAGCCACGAATTGCGCCATCACGACGCGCGCCTCCTTAGACGCGCAGCGACAAACCATGTTGGCTTCCACTTCCCCACCGGGGCGAGCAGCCTTACCCGTCTGCACGCAGAGAAGTCCGGCCAGCAGCGCGGCTGAGAACGGCTTCATTGTGCCCTGGGAGCGGCCGGTGGCGGATGAACGGATAGGAGGAAGCAAAAAAAGAGGAGGCGGAGGCTCCTGCATTTAAGTAGACGCGCGGCGAGGGTGGAGTGAACAGGTAGCAACACCTTGTCCTGCCCTGCGGAACGGCCGGAGACCAGCCTCTGCGGTGTCTCGGCCGATCCCTGCGCTGGAGACACAGCTGAGAGGAGACCCGCCGGCGCGGGGAGAAGGGGCTGAGCCGGGGGTCGCGCCTCTTACCTCCCCCCCCAGCTTTTCCGCCCTCCAGCCCCAGTTCTTCCAGTCTCTAGTCGGGAGTCCCCTATCCCACCCCACGAGTTTGGCTCTGGGGAGCCCCCTCCGCGACCAAGATTGGGAGCACACACACACACACACACACACACACACACACACACACTTGGCTAGCGGGAGGCAGGGGGCTAGGCTGCCATCCAGGGGTCCCAAAAGTGTTTTTCCCAAAGGCAACTGGACTTTCTTCTTCTTGCTGTTGTTGTTGTTTTCCTCCCTTGAAAACACTTCGTTTTTCATCCAAGAAGCTGCTTAATAAGAACGGAAGAAGCTTCTTGGATGAGAAGTGAAACGTTTTCAAGAGGGGGGGAGGAAGCCAAGAAAGTCCAGCTGCCTTTTGGAAAAAGCACCTTTGGGACAAGGTGACCTAGATGATTGAGAATCTCCATAAATGGACGAATAGAAGTAGAGTAGAGTAGAGTAGAGTAGAGTAGAGTAGAGTAGAATATATGGAATGGAATGGAATGGAATGGAATGGAATGGAATAGAATAGAATAGAATAGAATAGAATAGAATAGAATAGAATAGAATAGAATAGAATAGAAAATATGGAATGGAGTGGAGTGGAGTGGAGTGCAATAGAATAGAATAGAATAGAATAGAATAGAATAGAATATATGGAGTGGAGTGGAATGGAAGAATAGAATAGAATGGAATGGAATGGAATGGAATGGAATGGAATAGAATAGAATCTGGAAGGGACCTTGGAGGTCTTCTAGTCCAGCCCCCTGCTCAGGCAGGAGACCCTATACCATTTCACATGTGATGTGATGTTCCAGCGGTCCTCTCCCTTCCAGCCACAATGCCAAGTTAACTGGCGGTGATCCTCAGGAATGCTCCATTCCCTCAGGGGGGCAGGGGGCTCCCTGTCCTTCTCCCCACCTTCCGTGGAGACTTTGGGGTACCATAGCTGGGAAGGGCTGGAGGGGCCCGTCCTGGAAGAGGCAGCTATCCTCCTGGCCAGCTCTCCAGAGGACCTTTTTGGTTCTCCTGGCATGTGGTGATGGATGCTTTGTTTTCTCTTCTCCTCCCTGTGTTTTCTTTCCTTCGCTGCTCTTTGAAGATGATGCCTCTTTCCTGCTGTCAAGGAAAGCTGTCTTATTTCCACTCCCAGGGATGAATGTTGCTCAGCCCAACAACACAGGTTGCTTCTCAATATCCTGAGGCCAAGATGGCCTTCGAATCGATAGCAAGATCGGCAGCGTTCAAGGATTCAACAGATCAGAAAAGCTTTAAGGGGCTTTACCGTGTGATGTCCAGGTTAGTCCTCAACTTACCATCCCAACGGAATCCAGAACTTTCGTGTTGCTAAGCGAGGCAGTTCTTAAGTGGGTTCTGTCCCATTTTACGACCTTGTGAATCACGGCACTTGTTAAGTTAGTCACATGGCTGTGATGCAAATCCGGCTTCCCCATTGACTTTGCGGGTCAAAAAGTCACAAAAGGGGGATGCCATGGCTCCTGGGACGCTGCAACCGTCATAAATAGGAGTCGGTTGCCAACTGTCTGCATTTTAATCATGTGACCATGGGGATACTGCAAGTATGGAAAACGTCCCTAAGCCACTTTTTTCAATGTTGTTTTAACGGTCACTAAAGGAACAGTTGTAAGTCAAGCAATATCTCCACCTGAAGGCTGGACAAGAAGCAACAGATGGAAACTGATCAAGGAGAGACGCAACCTAGAACTAAGGAGAAACTTCCTGACAGGAAGAACAATTAACCAGTGGAACCACCTGCCTCCAGAAGCGGTGAATGCTCCAACTCTGGAAGTTTTTACGAAGAGACTGGACAGCCATTTGTCTGAAATGGTATAGGCCAGTGATGGCGAATCTTTTAGAGACTGAGTGCCCAAACTGCAACCCAAAACCCACTAATGTATGGTCAGGTGCCGGGTGGGTGTGGCCCATTGGGTGGCCGTGGCCCATTGGGTGGGTGTGGCTGCAGTGGTAATGGCAGACTGCGGGGGACTAAAAAGTTCAATCAATCAATTCCAACTTTGTGAGATCTTTCCCCCATCCCGCAAGAAGTTGAAATTGATTGATGATTGAATTAGATGGTACTGGGGAGGGGAGGAGGAGGAATGTGCATGGGAGTTTAGTTAGGTATAACAATATTGTAACTAGTGTGAGAACCAAGGTTTTTTGAAATAAGAGATGATAAGAAATGGCGGAGTTGAAGAACTGGAGGGAAAGCCTGCGTTTCAAACTAATTGGAGAATGTGATTTATGACTGTTAATTGGAGGACGGAATTGTGCTTTGATACTATGTGCTCAGGGGAGGGGAATTCAGATTTTGGCTTTGCCTATGTACGTGCCGATGCTATGCTACTCGAAGAAAGATTCTTTAAGCTAAACAATGCCTCGAAGTTCTTTGAAGAGTTTCATCTGTCGGAACCATGACATTTATTATTATTATTATTATGGATCATCGCACAGTCAGCCAGATGTTCAGACTGGATTTGGCATTTTGTCTACCTATCGAGTCCTTACCCAGGACCTGGGATAGGCAGATGTGGATGTTTGATGGTATTACAGATATCGTCGCAGGATGGAAGCAGTTCCTAGTAAGGCCGCCTTTTGCAATTGACTAATAGCGAATTTGTCAATGCCAATGGTGTTCAAGTGGTGCTCCAGTTGTTTTGGGATTGCACCCAAGGAGCATATTACTATTGGTACTACCCTTGCTTGCTTTTGCCACAGTCTTTCTATTTCTATTTATAGGTCTTTGTATTTTGTTATCTTTTCCAGTTCTTTCTCGTCTATTCTGCTGTCTCCATTATTATTATTATTATTATGGATCATCGCACAGTCAGCCAGATGTTCAGACTGGATTTGGCATTTTGTCTACCTATCGAGTCCTTACCCAGGACCCGGGATAGGCAGATTTGGATGTTTGATGGTATTACAGGTATCGTCGCAGGATGGAAGCAGTTCCTAGCAAGGCCACCTTTTGCAATTGACTAATAGCGAATTTGTCAATGCCGATGGTGTTCAAGTGGTGCTCCAGTTGTTTTGGGATTGCACCCAAGGAACCTATCACTATTGGTACTACCCTTGCTTTCTTTTGCCACAGTCTTTCTATTTCTATTTGTAGGTCTTTGTATTTTGTTATCTTCTCCAGTTCTTTCTCGTCTATTCTGCTGTCTCCAGGCACTGCCACGTCCACTATCCAGACTTTTTTGTCTTTCTTATCGACAATTGTTGTTGTTGTTATTATTATTATTATTATTACTATTATTATCTGTATTCAAGGATTCTATAAATCAGAAAAGCTTTAAGGGGCTTTATTGTTTGCTATAATCTGTCACCACTGTCCAAGGATCGGGGGAAAAAACTAGACATACACACGCAACAGAGACATTTGCTAAGAAGTGAAAACAAGGCTGTTTTTTTTACCACACCGACATAATGCAAAGTTTATATGCAAGCGTTTATGTAGATGTCGTGTTTGTATATGCTTATATCTACTAATTGTGGCCTAGTCTAAATATACGCCCTCTCGTTTAATATCTGGAACTTAATTACAAGACTTAACCTACTACTACTGTGTCTATTATGCAAATGTGCTTTGCTTTTCTTCTCCCACGCTGACTTAGCCACAGGTTAGGAATGCTCTAGATTCTCTCCTTCCTGATCATTCATCCATCTCTCCAGCACCTGACCCAGAAGCCACATGGAATTCGGTGGGCCATCTGCTAGATGCAGGGTTTTCTCAGCAAGTTTAAGATGGGTGGACTTCAACTCCCAGAATTCCCACACACAGCGTGCGGTCTGGGGGAATTCTGGGAGTTGAAATCCACCCATCTTAAACTTGCTGAGCTTGAGAAGCAACACTCTGGAGTCTAGTGTCTCTTTTGGGTGGTCCTCTTTGGGTTCAACTGCTGGAAGGGTCCATCCTGGATCTTCTACAAGTGACACCTTAGCAGTGTTCCAAAGGAAAAAAAGGGTCAACCTATTTTTCCAAAGCACCGGAAGGCAAGACAAGAAACAATGGATGGAAACTAATCAAGGGGAGAAGCAACCTAGAATTAAAGAGAACATTTCCTAACATTGAGGACAATTAAGCAGTGGAACAACCTGCCTTCAGAAGTTGTGGATGCTGCGTTACTGCAGGCTTTTAAGAAGAGATTTGGCAAGCTACTTGTCTGGAATGGTCTAGGGCAGGGGTAGGCCACCTTGGCTCTTTTATAACTGGTAGACTTCAACTCCCAGAATTCCTGAGCCAGCCAGGCTGAGGGGAGAGGGAGAGGTTTCCAAGCTGAGCCACGCTGACTCAGGAATTCTGGGAGTTGAAGTCCACGAGTCATAAAAGGGCCAAGTTTGAAGACTCCTGTCTTAAATCTAACAAACAAAATGGAGGCTGGCTGAGGAATTCTGAAGTTGAAGTCCACGAGTCATGAAGGAGCCAAAGTTTTCCCCATGAGGCTCAGGAATTCTGGGAGTTGAAGTCCACCAGTCATAAAAGAGCCAAGGTTGCCTACCCCTGGTCTAGGAGGCTCACCGCTTAGAACAGGAGGACTTAGGACAGGGGTAGGCAACCTTGGCTCTTTTATGACTCATGGACTTCAACTCCCAGAATTCCTGAGCCAGCCATGCTGAGGGGAAAGGGAGAGGTTTCCAAGCTGAGCCACGCTGGCTGAGGAATTCTGGGAGTTGAAGTCCACGAGTCATAAAAGAGCCAAGGTTGCCTACCCCTGGGTTAGGGTCTCCTGCTTGAACAGGGGGTTGGACTAGAAGACCTCCAAGGTCCCTTCAACTCTGTTATTCTGACTCTTCCATCTATTGCCTCCTCTGTTCCACACACCCTGTCCTCTTTCTCTCCAGGAGAACAGAACAGAACAGAACAGAATGAACTTCCTGCTCTGTTGAGAAGAATACTCCTTCTCTTGATTACCTGCTCTGGTTCACATCTAATTATTTCTTCTAAGTCATATATTCCAGCTTGCA